AATCCAACTAAAAAATAGAAAATAAAATTTTAATAAATTTTAATTAAAAATAGTGTAAGAAAAAATGATTTTATTGTAAAAAAAAAAGCGTGGGGTGCTTTTCAGGATATTATCGAAATAACCCTTCTAGTCATATCTGTTCATAAAATATTTAACTACTGATACCATGTAGTTTTTTAAACTATTATTTACTTTTCATTTTTTAGTTGAATTTCAATTTATTCAATTATTATCTTTCAAATATTTTTTTTTATATTGTATTGTCATCGGTCCTTAATAAGTATACCAAATTTCGAGTTAATCCGACATTTTGAAGGGGGTCAAAATCATGTACAAAGATTCCGTTATAAACATACATGCGTCTGAAGCTAATAAAAGCGTACCTATACACTTTGAATATAAAACATAAATCGCTCGTCTAACAATTTCCGTGTGTAATATGGACAGCGTAAAACGAAACAAACGTTAAGTCCGAGCTAACAATGACAGTGTCTGGGCCGCTCTGACCGAATGTCCACTTTTTATGTGCGACGCGCGCAGCGGTTAATCCGAAAAAAAAGACAATAACAAAAAGTATTTCAAGGAAATAGGAATATTTTTATTTTCCTACCGGTTCTAGTAACCTCGAAGGGTTATTTTAGATTCACCGAGCTAGTAGATGAGCTCACGGGGTCAAACCGAGAGTGTAACACTGGCCCTAGCAAGAGCAGTGCTTCGCAGAATCTACCACCGAATTGGAAACGCTATCCACTAAGAAGATCCGGTGAGAAACTCAGTGGGCTGTGTCTATGGGTTAATTTACTCGCGGAGCCCTTCGTCGCAAGCGATGGGCTCGGCGAGAACGGTGACCGATGCTTGAGGTGCCTAAAAGCACCGTTAATGAATCGGGAGGATCCGTAATGACGTGCTTAGGGCGACGTCGACTATTTACTATTCGGTCTACTGGATCGCGTATGGGGAAATACGTATGTTTTTAATCAACTTGATAGATAGCCTTAGTGTCGTGCAATGCGGGACTAGAGGCGACCTCGGATAACCTAAATGTGATAATTGCATCATTAGTTTTCAATTAATTCTTTAGATTCATTTAAAATGTAAATATTTATTTTTATTTAAGTCATATTTTCATATCTTTATTTTTAATTAGGTCTTTAAATTTTTAGATCTTTAGGATTTGGATTACAAGCCAAGCAGTAGCACATTCAAATTTTAAGGCTAGGGCAGAAGTTGTACTATGGAACTGGTCTAGGTCTCCCTTGGAGGCACTCGGGTAGCTGTTAGCAAATCCCACCACTTCTGGCTGAGCCTTTGCTCGAACACCTATCCTGGTCAAACTGGAAAGGCCTCCGGGCCACCAGTAATCCCTCAATCACAAAAAAACACCTTTATATGTAGATAAATAAGACCGTTAACTAGCAAGCAGTTATTTACAATAACTATGCCGCCTCCCGTATCGGGAGGTAAAAATCTGGATTTCTGTAATGACCAGCCAGTGGATTTAAGCTCAACAGAGCCACACTACTCGGTAAGATTATTCCACCGGCCTCAACCATTAGGCCAAGGCTTAAAAACTCCCGTTAAGTTAATAAAACCAGTTTTGAAATCGATTTATAAAGTTTGAAAAAAAATCGATCTCAAAATCGTTGCATATTTTATACACAACATACTGGTATTTTAATGATTAGTTTTTATAAGAACAATATAGTTTTTTTGTAATATTAAATGGTTTATTTATTTCACACTATACATATCTTTCTTTTTATTATTTATGTATTGTGTTTATATAAAGGCCCACAAGTACCTCACTGATTTACGAGAGTTATTGTTGATTTGTTTGCTGGTGGTAGGACGTCTTGTGAGTCCGCACGGGTAGGTACCACCGCCCTGCCTATTTCTGCCATGAAGCAGTAATGCGTTTCGGTTTGAAGGGTGGGGCAGCCGTAGTGAAAAGTGAGACCTTAGAACTCATGTCTCAAGGTGGGTGGCGGCATTTACATAGTAGAAGTCTATGGGCTCCGGTAACCATTTAACATCGGGTGGGCAGTGAGATCGTCCACCCAACTAAGCAGTAAAAAAAAAAAAAAAAAATCATGTCAACTGCACGCGCCGTAGTTGTCTGGAAGAGATCGCTCTAAGCGATATAACCGTCCATTGCATTTTTGTCTTATTCGTCATGTATTATTTTCTTTGTGTGCAATAAAGTATAGTCTACTTCATGCTAAATTTGCACGTATTTACAAGAAATTAAAAAAAAAACACAAGAATTAAAATATTGATTTAGTAGCAAGAACATCTTAAACAATAAATTGTAAGCATGTTCAGTGGATAATATTTAGACGTACATTTGCTATTATTGCTAAATTGCACATTAAACGTCATGTAACCGTTGAAAATACGTCATAATTATATTCACGCCAACATTATTATTATATCTGGGTAGTTTACATACAGAACAGTATTTTATCATTAAGCATAATGAGATACGCAAAAATGTTTTCTTATCAACAAGTAAAGGTATCTTATCTTATTGGCGTGGCGTTAAATTACGTGGAGCACATAAGGGGATTGTTCCCAAAGCGAAAACAACATTAATACACCCAACGGAAACAATAACTTAATTTTTCTTCAAACTAACACCTACTCATCGTTAAAATGATTTCATTTTTTTCCCTACTTATGCTGATAGCCTTGAGAGGCTATTTCAGCTTCGCCCTAACATGTAGGTGAAGCACACGGGGCTCAAACCGGAGTGTTGCTATGCTTCGCAGAAACTACCACCCGATCGGAAACGCGACCCACTGAGAAGATCCGGCGAGAAACTCAGTGGGCTGTTTCTGTGGGTTAATTCGCTCGTCGAGCCCTTCGTCGCAAGCGACGGGTTCGACAAGGACGGTGACCGGTGCTTGTGGTACCTAAAAGCACCGTTAATGGATCGGGAGGATCCGTAATGTCGTGTTTTGGGCGACGTCGACTATTTACCATTCGGTCTACAGGATCGGGTATGTAATTTCCAGCGGACACGACAAGAGGGTTCTCATGTCGTGCCGCTTTCTCAAAGTCATGATTTCATGTTGAGCCCGCAATGGACGTGCATCATGCTTGGGGTCAACAACCGCGCTGACTCACACCCATAAGGCACAAACACCGCGCGTATTTAGTCCGCGCATTCAACATTAAATCGTGATGTAATTTTTCAGCAATGCTTGTTATCGTGTATGTAATAGAATATAATAGAATAGTGTATATAATAGAATTTTAAATTTACTTATTGGCTAATTTACTTTTTCGGTCATTAAATAATTTGATAACATGCAAACACTGTTGCCACGTCTTGGTAGTACGTTGATCTCTGTTTCCGATCCGGTGGTAGATTCTGCGAAGCACTGCTCTTGCCAGGGCCAGTGGTAGCAACACCTCCGGTTTGAGCCCCGAAAGCTCACCTACGCGTTAGGGTAAAGCTGGTATAGCCTTTCAAGGCTATCAGCATAGGTAGGATAGAAAAAAGCGTTCAAACAATTTTATTTTGGATAAGTCGCTAGTAAATATATTGTTTTAAACATGTGCTCATCTAGTCGATTTAAAGAAAACATTGGTGAAGCAGTTTTGAAATTCCAGTAAGTCGCTCGCCGCTAACTTTCGCAGCAGTTTCCTACGTGATCACAATCTTAAGTTACCACATTAAGTTTATTCTGTACCTGTCTTCATACATATTGAAATGGAAATTCACATTTCGCTACATACGCGATGTGGGAAACAAACAAGCGAGACTGCTTATTAAAACCAAAAGCCATAAGAACAAACCGGGCTGCTTTTAAAACAAATTTATTCATAATAATAAAACAATAATTGCACTTAACCATAACTATTAACTACACATTTATGTAATCAATTCAATAAAATCAAAACGATTTGTATTCATATAATAAATTACATATAATTATAAATTTATTATTACGTTAACTATAATACGCTCCCTGGCGGAATAGGTACTAATGTACATAACACAAATCAATGGCAATTTCTCGAGGAAGTTAAATTATTATTTTACATTGATGTAAAATAAAATTCATAATAAATTGTACGATACGATACGAAGCCGCGTCCGCGACGAGAACGGCCCGCACCTTTACTCCAAACTGATGTCATTGTTCCACATTATTTGTGTACATTCATGTGATAATCGCGCGAGAAGCTATCCGTGTCGGTGTGAGGGGGCGAGGGGCGAGGGGCGCGGCGGACGCGACCGGTCTGGGCCACAGCACGACCCGGCACAACAAGCAACAACACCGCCGAGTCGATGCACACTGCACACTCATCACGCACCATCACAGTTTCTTCACGATGTCAAACTTGGACCTAAGGTCCATCGGCACTTTCTTAGGGTCGAACTTCTTCTTGGCGGCGAGATGTGCTCGCATCTCGGCCGCGGTCATCTGCAGGTTCAGCTTAGGAGGTTCGGTCGGCGACGGACTGTCCCGGGGCGCTTCGCTAGGCGGAGGGGTCTTTTCCGGCACCGGCACGTCCAAATCGGGCATCTGGTCCCCCGGAGCCGGTGCTATCACCAGCAACTCGGCGTCATCGGACCGCTCCTTGATGCGAGCTACCACTTGCTTGTGGGTCTCGCCGGCGATACTATGGCCGTTCACTTCGAGGATGCGGTCGCCGCGTTTTAAGCCAGCGGTCTCTGCCGGAGAGCCATCGTCAACCTTACCGATGTACTGACCGGGTTTTCCTTTTTCTGCGTGCAAATTAAACCCGTAGCCGTCGAAGTCTGGCGTCTTCCGCACGTGGCAGAGTCGTGGCTCGATGGCCGCCGACCCGTTCGCGGACATGTCGGTGGTCGGAGTACGCGCTAACAGTGCCGCGCGCTCTCGGGGACTGACAGCAGGCCGCGCGCGCCGCGCTCTCCTCGTTTGGAGCCTCGCCCCTCTCGCCGCGGGCGCACCTGCGAAGGCTGTCGTTGTTCAGGTGTGCGGGGCGCGGGGTGCGGGAGAGGACCGGTGCCGCCGCGGCCTCTTCCAGTGCGTACCGAATCGCCGCTGAAGCGCGAGCTGCCGTCGCGAGTGTTGTGCATAACCACGAGTTGCGGGTGCGGTGACATTAACGTATTTTCGGAATCAAGGGTGAGTAGTCCGAGACCCGAAGTTCGGGGGCTAAGGTGATGTTGGACTGCAGATTTCAAGCAGTCCGACACGTCAGAACGGACGCACGCCGCCAAGGATCGAGGCCGCGCCGCTTTCCCGTATCCACGTCTGTGAATCGCACAAACTAACCCGAACGAAATCTAGAAAACGAACCGCCATTTAGGAGAGAGAAATTGTAACAGTTTCCCGTGTGAAACAGCCGGCCACATCGACTTGTGACGACCACATTCCTTTGTGTTGTGTATTTTCCGTATCCGTGACAACGTATTACGTTGTTATCAGAATGCTAACGCATTAATACATCACGCGAACGTTTTAAGATAAACATATCGTAAACAAACGTGAATATTTAAAAAAAAATCAAAGAAAAACATTAACAAAATGGTGTTGCAAGCTAATGAACGATAGATGGCGCTGGCAGGACGCTCACACACGGCCAATGCTTCGCCACGGTTGCCTGGCTCTAACCTGATAACACTGATTACAAATGACCAATGGTAAACACAAAACATCAGATAACAGCCATTCGTTAGGCCCTTAATCTTGGGTTACGAAAAATAGGAATTCGAAAGCAGGGACGACTGAATGGACTAATAGATTGAGTAACAGGACTTATGCAATGACGAATGGCTTGAATGGAATTGACAGTTAGAAGACGTATATGGAGTTCCTGTAGACAATACTAATGTGACTAATGCTGTGGAACAATTCATTAGTTGCAGCATATTGTTAAACTACAAATTAATATTCCATTGCCTAACTGAATAATGTTACAATAATTTTAAGCTATATAGGTATTTTGTATTCGTTAGGTCCTGACTTTTATTTTGGTTTCACTACAATTTTTATATTAATTATTGAGTGAATAAAATTTTGACCAATTATCGAAAAAACGTCAACTGACACTTAATTATTAATTAATTTAATTTATTTATTTAATCTAACTATTAACTATAAAAAATAATTTACTTGGTAACACTAAAACTGGTCAATAGCTCTAAGCCAATATACCTATAGAGAGAAAATCGGTTAACGAACAGAAGTGAGAAGATTATCTGTATAATGTTATCTTTGCTTTTTTACATCTAGAACTTTACTTTTAGAACTATGAATACTATATTAATATTAAAACTATGCATAACTATATATATGTCGATTTACCCGTTATTAATAAGAATGAATCTTGCGTACTTAACCAAGAGGAAGGACAAGAAAATATCGTGAACCCTAAAGCTATTCTTTGGATAACCAAAAGTTCACATTTAAAACTACTACTTACTTACTTTTTTTTTTTATTGCTTAGGCGGATGGACGAGCTCACAGCCCACCTGATGTTAAGTGGTTACTGGAGCCCATAGACATCTACAACGTAAATGCGCCACCCACCTCGAGATATAAGTTCTAAGGTCTCAGTGTAGTTACGACGGCTACCCCACCCTTCGAACCGAAACGCATTACTGCTTCACGGCGGAAATAGGCGGGGTGGTGGTACCTACCCGTGCGGACTCCCAAGAGGTACTACCACCAGTGATTACGCAAATTATAATTTTGCGGGTTTGATTTTTATTACACGATGTTATTCCTTCACCGTGGAAGTCAACTACGTATACGGCTTAATCTCGGATTTTTTACTATAATTATCTTCATTCCGAAGTTTTAAGAAGCTATTAGTTCGTTCTGAAAAGAAATTCAAAAGAAATATCCTTTTTTTTAATATTGACGGTAGTTAACGATATATTGAAATGACGACGAATAAATAACGCCTTAGACGTCCGTGACGACAAGAACTGTAAAATATTTCGAAACATCAGAAACGTGATTAACTTAAGTAGTTAAATGTACTTTTAAGTCGTCGTGGCCTAAAGGATAAGACGTCCGGTGCATTCGTATGTAGCGATGTACCGGTGTTCGAATCCCGCAGGCGGGTACAAATTTTTCTATTGAAATACGTACTCAACAAATGTTCACGATTGACTTCCACGGTGAAGGAATAATATCGTGTAATAAAAATCAAACCCGCAAAAATTATAATTTGCGTAATCACTGGTGGTAGGACCTCTTGTGAGTCCGCACGGGTAGGTACCACCTGCCTGCTATTTCAGCCGTGAAGCAGTAATGCGTTTCGGTTCGAAAGGTGGGGGTAGCCGTTGTAACTATACTGAGACCTTAGAACTTGTATCTCAAGGTGGGTGGCGCATTTACGTTGTAGATGTCTATGGGCTCCAGTAACCACTTAACACCTAAAAAAAATTTGCCTACAACTGAAGAAAACCTAAGAAATTACTAGAGAAACAAATTGATTAACCTGTACGCACATTCTCAAAATTATCCCTTTAAAAATGTTGCCTAATAAGCACTAAGTAACTCAAAATTTCGAAAAACTAACATATATAAAATACAAACTTTTCGAAATATAAAAACCGATAATAAACATGGCCTCATTCTACGTCAACTTTACAAATATTTACTGATTTATTACAAAACGAGTGTTAATATTAGATTTTCTGTTGCATTACAGAAAATAAATAACCCATAACATACTTTTGAATTGGGTAATTCCTATAATTATCACATTTAATCCATAGTTCTGATAATTCACTTATCATTTCGGCTGTAAAGATCAAATCACACACGCCACAATAATGAGGTAAAAAGTAATATTCATATCAGTATATTTCTCGAAGTATAAGTTAAAGAATAGAATAATATAATTTAAATATTTAACGGCCGTCTGGTGTAGTGGTAAGTGACATGGTCACTACACAAGGGGGTCGCGGGTTCGAATCCCGCCAAGGCAAGATATTTGTATGATAAATATAAAGGTTATGGATGTATATTAAATATGTGTATGTGTATAATAAAAAATCTTACATTTATTTCTGTCATCTGGTACCTTGTAACACAAGTTCTTTACGAACTTATTACAGGACCAGTTAACGTGGCGTGATTGTTAGTAAATATTTATTTATTTATTTAGTATAGAAGCTTAATATAGTTTTTTATAATGCTCAAATTGTCACTTCGTTAAAGCGTCGTGGCGCGAAAACCTATTTATCGATCGTGGCCGTCTGGTCAGAGGTAGTTTTTTTTTTTTATTACTTAAATGGGTGGACGAGCTCACAGCCCACGTGGTGTGAAGTGGTTACTGGAGCCCATATACATTTACAACGCAAATACGCCACCCACCTTGAGATATAAGTTCTAAGGTCTCAGTATAGCTACAACGGCTGCCCCTTCCTTCAAGCCGAAACGCATTACTGCTTCACGATAACCAACCCAGGCGACCGGGAATCGCAAAGTCACCGTTGCCTTAAGCATTTGCTACCGGATTGTCTTAATCCAGTCTCCGTGGTTTTAGGGACCCCAAGCACCGGTCACCGTTCTCGTCAAACCCGACGAATTCGACCATAAAGTTTGACGTGCAACCTAGCCCATAGACAAAAACCACTGAGTTTCTTGGCGGGTCGTCTCAATGGGTCACAATACCGATCCGGTGGTAGATTCAGTGGAGCACTGCTCTTGCTAGGGTCAGTATTAGCAAGTTCTCTCAGGTTGAGCCCGTGAGCTCACTATTCACACTATACAGCTATTTGGAATAGCCCCTTAGGCTATCATCGATTAGGTAGGGAAGGACCGAAAAAACCTAAAAAGGAAAGGAACTAATACAAACTTCTTACCAAAATAATAAGAGTTTGTTCTTTTTGTATTCACGTATAAACCTACACCAGAACATGGCATTGCTGAAGTCCATGGGCGACGGTAACCACTCACCATCAGGTGGGCCGTATGCTCGTCTGCCAACAAAGGCAATAAAAAAAAAAAAAAAGCATAAATTGTTATTTTTGTCAATTGTCGGATATTTTTGTTAACTTAATACAATGTATTTCATACAATATGTAGATAGTTTAAACACGCAACATATCCTTCTTACGATAACATACAGAGATAAATACATCCTGTGTAGCGAATGATTTGAATTAACGCAATTTTGAAGCGAAACATTATATTGAATACCGATTACGAATTCATTTTCAAAATCTCAATTAAATTAGTCTTCATCTCATCTCGTTTAATTCGATTTCATAAATAATTCAATTTACTATACAGCTTATAATATGTAATTTAAATTCAATAATTCAATTTTTACTGGTGGTAGGATCGCTTGTGAGTCCGCGCGGGTAGGTACCACCGCCCTACCTATTTCTGCCGTGAAGCAGTGATGCGTTTCGGTTTGAAGGGTGGGGCAGCCGTTGTAACTATACTGAGATCTTAGAACTTATATCTCAAGGTGGGTGGCGCATTTACATTGTAGATGTCCATGGGCTCCAGTAACCACTTAACTTCAGGTGGGCTGTGAGCTCTTCCACCCATCTAGGCAATAAAAAAAAAAAACTAAAATTATTATATAATCTTAATAATATATTATGTGTCCTATTAAATTCAAGACATATAATAATTAAAATTAGAATGATTTTAGAACAAATACTACATATATACATTATATAATTAAATAGTTAATTTGATATAGCTAAAACATATTTTGAAGGATTTAAAAAAATCTGCTTACCAAAACAAACAATCGGATAAAAAACAAATCAAGTGAGTTCAGGTGGGAATCACATCGGGCTAATATCATGGGCATGTCACGTTCATCATTTCAACAAGCACAGTGACTATTTATATTGTTATGGTATCGCCCAACAACGCTGACAATGGATCCATTCGGACATTTACTGGTTGGTAGGAACTCTTGTGAGTCCGCACGGGTAGGTACCACCACCCTGCCTATTTTAGCCGTGAAGCTGTAATGCGTTTCGGTTTGAAGGGTGGGGCAGCCGTTGTAACAATTTTTTTTTTTCTTCTCGTCCCACTAGTTGGGGTCGGCACAGCTAATTTTTCTCTTCTATCAGCCGTCATCTCAACACTCACTCCTCTCTCTCTCATATCGTCATTCACACACTCCATCCATGTCTTCTTTG